TGCCCGTCAATAGTCGTCTGTGCGCAATGAGGCTACAGGGATCAGTTAGTGTTCGGAAGGGTAGCAACACCAAAAGGTGTTTGTTCATAATTTCGGCGTATGCACCTACCAACTGCAGTCCCGCTTCACAAAAGGATGAATTTTACGACAAACTCGCCGAACTGATTTGGTTGAGCCCCAACTCCGATATTATAGTGCTGGCAGGTGATTTTAACGCGCAGGTTGGAGAACTGAGTGCACCCGAAGCCTTTCTAGGAGGGCACTTCGCCTTTCCCGCCCAGCGAACAGACAACGGTGATCGACTACTTTAGTTCTGTGCGGATCACCGGCTGTTCTTATCTAGCACCAATTTTCGACACTGCTCTCGTCGAACGGCTACATGGTGTTCTAGTTCAACGGGCACATTGATCCAAATTGACCACGTAGCTGTAAGCTACCGTTGACGTGGTTCAGTACAAAATTGCAGGTCCTATTGGTCNACTAGTTCTGCAACGCTTCGCTCTTCGACTCATTGGTTACCGGCAGAAATCGCCTCCTCAATTAGCTCACCATCGTCTGCGCGATCCAGCTGTCTGCGCACGTTATGCGGAGAAGCTGGGACAGGAGCTAGGAGAATCGCAACATAGTGGAGTAGAACAACAGTGGAATCAGATTAGATTTGTGATGCACTCGGCTGCAAACTTTGCTTGTGGGACTGATTCCGAAGCTCACCGAAGACATTGGATCTCACATGAGTCAGTAATCCAAATGGATCAGAAACGAAAGATCCCAATCTGCCAGGATCAGCAGAAGGACCGGTGTCGTCTGCAACTTAAACACAGAAACAGCCTTAAGAAAGATAGTGAAAATTGGTCGGCCGAAATAGCTAGTGAAATGGAGGTAGCTTCTGCATCAGGGAATAGTCAAAGACTATTTCACCTGATACGCAGCACCGGAGGTCGTCTCATACCGGTCAGTGAGATCATTTGCGATAAAAGTGGACAAAGCATCCACAATAAAGAACAACGACTTGATCACTGGGCAGAGTATTTTAGTGAACAGTTCAATTGGCCTAGTGCTAATGTGGTCATTCCAGCAATTGCGGTGGAAACTCCATGTATGGTAACATGCGAGCCCCCATCACAATCGGAAGTACTAAGCTGCATTCAATCATTAAAGAAAGTAAAGGCTGCGGGACCTGATGGGCTTTTCACGATTATTTTCAAGGTGGGCGGAAATTCTCTTGTCGACTCAATTACTAGCTTACTTCGCTGCATTTGAACGGAGGAACGTATCCCTTTGTCCTGGGGTGGATCGATGGTCGTCTCTATTTTCAAGAAAGGATCACGCGACGACTGCGCTAATCACCGCGGGGTTAGTTTAGTTCCGATAATCTGTAGTGCTGACTTGTGTGATATTTCGCCGCCTGACACCCTTAAGGGAGAGGAATATCCGCGAACAATCAAGCTGGATTCCGACCAGGTCGCGGTTGCATCGACCAAATCTTCACTCTGCGTCAAGTCCTCGAACTGCGTCACACATTGTCGGCCAACAATCGCAGTGTTCCTTGACCTTAAACGAGCCTT